TTTGCACACCTGGTGGAAAAAAAAAGACTAGTAGTGAGCAAATGACATGAGCATTACTACTATGAACAAAACTAACCCTGGGGTCGTCTCTGGCAAACTTCTTGCCTTTTTCAAAAGCCTCGTCGATAGGTAAAAACCCCGGTGCCTTTGCAGCTGGCTTTGGAATCGCCGCTAGTTTAGCAGCGCAGGCGTCTTCGTACGCTTTTAACACACCATCGTAGCGATGGCGATGTTTCAGGTGACTAATCAGGTTGGAAGTATTATAGCTCGTTGCCTTTTTCCCTCCTCGTGGAACTTCTGCATTTGTTAATACAAATAGCAAGCGAACTATCTAACTCTGAAACTTTGAAATAGTCCCATACTACCGACGACATGTTTGTTTACTGTCCTGGCTTCACGGCCGCACACCATTTACGTCACAGCCAGGCATGAGTTAGGGAGCGCTGGATTTGTGAAGAACTCCCCTCTTCCTAAACCACTAATACCACAGTACTGGCAAAACGGGAGGAGCCGAGTGAAAAACAAGCGCTCCTCATCCCAATCCACCCACACCGCAGTATTTTTTTCTTTTTTTTACCCAAAAAATATATTGTATATTAATACATATATATTAATATAATATATAATATATATATATATATAATATAATATATTAATACTTTTATCGGGATGACGTCATAATTCCTAATATCGGACCGATAATGCACCACTACATGTTTCCCTATCCTCATATCTTGTATAGACCAGACGATTACTTGACTATCCTGAAATGAAATGAAATGACAGTTTAATCGCAGTCCAAGCTGTTCGGTCTCTGTTACCTGAGTGGGTGAATAAAAGAGTGATTGACTGATAAAGTGAGGATTCGGCCAAAGGTGCCGCGCCAAGCAGAGAACTGAACATGAGACTGAGTTTTTACCACCTCAAAGTGAACACCTCGTCTCATGAAAACCGCCACGACCTACAGTAACCTCATAAATCTATCTTAAAACGACTTCTTTGTTTTAAAACCCAAAGCTTCAGTTGGTCTTGCACTCCTTTGCTTTGCTGGCTTTTAAAGCACATTTCCTCCACATTTGTGCATGTATGTTATTGATATCAAAAATATCTACGCAGTGGTTTAGAATATAACAACTCATTGAGCTTTTTCCAGGTTATCATCTAACTCTGTGATGTGTCTCTGCGACTGAAAAGGCAGTCATATAAAAGTCAAAAATATAAAAAGGTCTCTGCCTATTGCTTAGTCATGCTTGAATAGAATGACTGTGAAAAGTCAACATTTCTCTGGTCCAGCCCATGTGATGTGGTGCGAGAGGCATGCTCAAAGGAATGCCACTGCAGTGAGGGTTTCCCTTGTATCGCTGCTATGGCTCTGTGTGGTTTAGAAAAGCAAACCCAGTGACGCAAAGCTCCATCTGTGGGGCAGAGAGGGACACAATGCATGCCCCACGGGGGAATAACAAGTGCTTATAAAGTGCTAATAATAACCTATGGTATATCAAAAAAGCAAAAAGCCTTAAGGTAATAAATAACCTGTGACATTATTATGTTTGCTCTACTTACTTCTTTGTAAATAAAAGCTGAGTTTAAGCAGTATATTATCAAACATCTCCAGGACTGCAGGAAGGATCTGTAAATTGTTAACATATAAGCGATACCATTTTGGGTTAAAAGTTGTTTGCCAGGAAACCAGAGACAATAAATACTGATGCTGCTTGAATTGTGGCCCAATGTTAATTGACCAACAGTATTAGATGTCACAAACTAAATAATCAAACATAATCTTCCAATGTGTAAGAATGTAACAGTTTGTGATGCTAAAAGTGTTGATTTGTCCTGAAGGTGGCACTGAAAAATTGTATTTTAACAAATATTTAGCCTTTAACAATGATTTGGCTCCCTACTATTTGAATATTGCACTAGTCCATATTGCATATTTATAACATTTGCCTTAATTGTTCAGCCCTGGTTAAGATATCTTTCTTTGACACAAACTGGTAGAGAAACCAACTGACTAACAATGTGAGTCACAACCAAATGTGTTTGGGTTAGAGCGCCTAAAATCCAAAGATTGTATTGCAGTTTTCTGAAGTCCTTGGAAAACCAATTGTATGACTTTGAGTTCCTGGAATATGGGAGAATATGAACTGTTGATGAATGGGAATACTTGCAGCTATAATCTCTGCTATATGGATGAAGCCACACCACATACCAACAGTGCTTCCACTATGCCACCACCCACACTAGGGCTGCTCGATTATGGCAAAAATCATAATCTCGATTATTTGGGTCAATAATTGATATTACGATTATCAAAAACGATTATCCATTTACTTTGAAAACATCCATTTATTGCATTTTTTTTGGAAAAGTATGTTTTTAACAGTTGATTACCCTGAACTTTAAGTATAATTCAACTGAAAAATGGTTTTATTTCGATGATGTTGTTTTCATAATCGTTGCAAGCCAAAATCGTAATTGCGATTAAAATACGATTAATTGAGCAGCCTTAACACACACACACAACACACACACACACACACACACACACACACACACACACACACACACACACACACACACACACACACACACACACACACACACACACACACACACACACACACACACACACACACACACACACACACACACACACACACACACACACACACACACACACACACACACACCACACACACACACACCACACACACACACAACACACACACACAACACACACACACACACACACACACACACACCATGTATACATCACTTCAGGGGACATTACATTGACATTACATGCATTTCCTGGAGACTTATCCTAACCTTAACCATAACCACAACCCTAACCCTAACCCTTACCCTAACCCTAATCCTAAACCTAACCAAGTCTTCACCCTAAAATTAATGATTCCCCTCATGGGGACCTCCAATTTGTCCCCATAAGGGAGGCGAGTCCCCACACGTGACTGTGTAAACAGATTTAGGTCCCCACAAGTATAGTAATGCTAGGCCACACACACCCCCACACACACACACCATACGGACGATATGATGCTGCAACAACTTTTCTTTCCTTCCTTTTCTTTGCACCTCAAGATGACTCAGAGAGTGACTACCCTCCGGTGTGTCAAGTCACCCCCTCAAGTTACAGCATTAAATATTCAAGCCGTACCTACCTTTGCATTATTTACCTTGTCAACATACAGAGGAAATTACTTGGAGGAAAAGAAAAGGGATAAATGCTTTAAATTTGGGGAGAGGAGCTCAGTAAAAAAAAGCCTGGGACATTTTGAACAAACGCCTCCTCAGGCAAAGTGACGCCGAAAGCAGTTTCACTTCAATGCAGCAGGTCTATGATGCAAGTCAGTCCCTACATGTCTAAGCAGGGATCAAACAGGGTAGCTAATTTCATGATAAACAGACACTAATCTAACAGTTTTCATGGCTTAATGCTGGCTGCTGGTGGTGTCTTCTCTGTCTGATGGGTGTATCCTGGCTTTAGTTACTCAACATCCTCGCCGCAAAGTTTCAGGGGCATCTTGCCTTTGTTTAAACACTGAACAGCATGTTGCTCACTCTATGGTACCAGTATAATGGTCTTCCATGTCATGTGATCCCTGCAAAAAATTCCAGAGTGGCTACTGAAGCCCAGCGCACATGGCGGCCCTTTCTAACAGATGTTTTTCGTTTGTGGTGCTGCAGTCTCTGGGTTCAGAGGCACAGAGCCAGAGAGGTGATTCATGATGTGAGCCTTTTCCTTGTTACAGTCAGCAGACACAGAGTGTGCTCCGGGTTGAGAATAGACACAGGCCCGGTTCTGTTTTGGTTGCTTTATTATACATATCCTGATATATAAAGATGTGAAAGATTGGAGATAGAAGTGATGGATAGCGAGGGCTGGTAATGTAATGGCCGTTTAGAATGTAAAGAGTGGCTTTTTTTTCCTTTACACAAACATATCTGGTTACTGTCCTCCTCTGCTTACATCTGTACGATAAATAAACCGTTTAGTTTAGTCACGTTCAATGTTTCTGCTTTACATGACAGATTAAACTAAATACTGTGATCCTGAAGTCATTCATGTCTGCAGCTAAATGCACTTTAAAGTGGGAAATTAGGTCACATTTTGGCTTTCACGGACAACAGTGAAGGTGGGCGCTCCCCTGGTTTGATGCTCCATTTAATCATAGCAGGAAGGATGCCAATGGAGGGTGATGGTGGGGGTGGGGAGGTGGGAAACACTCACATATTCACATAGCAACCCACCTGACTGGCCTTATTACACTGTCCCTACATGATCAGAGGTGACACAGCAACATCGAGTGTGGCTTTGGGGGTGTTTCTGGATCGTTTTAAATATAATTTAGCCCATGTAAGAGTGGGGAATCTCTTTAATCCTGAAACGGTTCAATCCTGATTTGACTGCCAGTGAGTAGAGATTGGTCTTTCTCTATCTGTCACACACTCACACACACTGCCACAGCCTGGCAGCATGTTCTGAAGCTGTGCGTTATGCAATAGTGAACACAGAGAGCTGCAGGCCTGAGTGCACATCTTTCTACTCCTTACACCACCAGAGCCATCCACCCCCTCTATTAGTACTCTACAGCTCTGGCAAGAAAGAGCAGCAGATTCACAAACACACAAGATGATAGCTCACCTACACACACCAGATCTGCATGTGTGGAGGGGGGGAAATGTTGTCAGGAAAAATGCACTTTCACAGAAAAAGCAGCTCAACAGGTGCGGATGTGCAACATTCTTATGCATTTAAGGAGGTTTTGAAATGCTGTCATGTATCAACAGTTGAATTTTTGGTTATGTAGCCTTGGTTGATGTTATAACATTCCACCCTGTAAGCCTGTTGTTTTTTTAATTAGATGCATTTTTAATATAATAATATAGTTTCTTTGGTTGTTTTGTTAAATCATCAATCATCCACCCATCCATCATGCACACAGCCCGCAGGCAGGCTGACACCGTGGCCTTACCTCCTCCAGCACATTCACCGTGTTCCTGCAGCTCTGCAGTCGGGTGGTGAAGCTGGATGTTGTCGGGGAATTGTAATCCTCTGTTGTCTCCGAGAGGAACTCGGACACCGATATTTGATCCGGCATCCTTTAACGGGGAAAATGCCCACAGCAGGGTCGGCGATGAATTCTCAGAAAGCTAAAACCATGTAAGATTAACTGAAAAAAATGATGAAAAAGCAGTGGTGTGTCGGCGAGCCGATGGAAGGGGAATGTAGATTTTTTTTTCTCGCGCAAAACTGTTAAACTATCGGGATGATTAAGACGTGTCTTCTTCTCCGGTGACTTCTCAAATGACTTCACTGTTCCCCAGGGGCCATGGGAGGAGGGAATTAACTAAATTTCTGCAGGCTCTATCCCCTCGGTGTGTCTATTCCTTGAGTGGATGTCTAAAAGCGACGCATTTATAAATAGTGTCACTCAGCGTCTAACTAAACCTCAGAGGAAAAACCACCGTAAAGAATAGCGGATGCCCTCATTATGCTCTACAGATGTTCAATAAACCGCTTGTCGTCAAAACAGCCCACAGTTACCAGTCTCTTTTTAGAATTTATCATAGTCCATGGTCTTCCGAGGTCGTCTCTAACTGCAGCGGGGTTCGGTCCTCTGTTCTTCGGCCGTAGTTTGTGTTTTTTAACGCTAAAAGCTGCCGCAGACACATTCACTGCCACTCTCTCCTGCTCGGCCGCGCTCGAGCTTCTCAGAGCTACAGTCAAGCTGGGTGCACGGAAAGATGGGATTTCCGGTCAAGGTTTTCAGAGTAAAACCATAGGGTGCAGTTTTATTTTATGACTGGTTCATTTTATGTTGTTATTACATGTAAGTTATTTCAACAATTAACTGAACCATAGCTTGTGTTTATATAGATATTTATTTTTATCATAAAGTCGAAGCCTCCGGTCAATATATAATTTATGATTTTATTTTGAAAACATAAATACTTCTTTTAATGTAGTTTGTTCGCATTGGTGGAAACTTCACTTAACTCCCTCCCACCCACCTCGCCTGGTTGACTCGGTCGAGGAGCCAGTCTGCGCATGCGTGATCTGGAATATGTGACTGCAGGGAGAGCCCACAGAAAACAACGATTTACAGAAAAAACATTTATGCTTCGTTTGTTTGACTTGTAGCGACACTGAGAAGGCTAGTTACAGACCTGAGTGCCATTAGAGAAATAGATTCAGAAGCCAAACCAAATAGTATTAGTTTGACCTTGCTGCCTTCAAATTCAACGTAGCCTACATGTTTAATATCAAATGTTTACCATTGAAAATCGTCTGGTATGGCTTCTATTTTTTACCGTAGCAATCATGTCAACGACGCAACACTTTGAGAATCACTCCTTTGGCATATCATTGCACTGTAGTGTTCAGTTTAATGATTTTTTTATGATTTTTTTGGGGTTTTGTGTGAAAAATTTTTTTGTTTTAAAGAACCAAATGAAGCATCACGCTGTTACAGCTCATTACATTATTTTTCCTAGGCAACAATGGGCATTGATTGGTTTAGTTGCATTAGTGTCCCCTACCGTATGATGAGTACATTCCAATTAAAGTACATTTATGGTCACATGGGGGAAAAATTGTGTTTCTTGGAATTAAGTAAGTGGTAGGGTATATGTCATAGGTGTCCAAATAATAATCGTATGACTCACTGTACTGCCGTTGTCTAAATAGTACAGTTTTTTTCTGAAATAAATGCATTCTAATTGAATTAAAAGCCTGATTGTCGCTTCATATGTTGCTGCCAGACAAATACATACAACAAAATGAAATACACATGTAATACAATATGTGTATGTATAAGACAAAAACAGATAGGAAGTATGTCACATAGTAACATGAACTATTTCGTTGTTTAACCAAGTTCACAATGGTGTGTCGTATTACCTACACATCTCAGAGACAATGGCCCCCACTCTAAACCCATAGGTCATGACTCATGACCTTCCCCTTACCAGTTTGTTGTTATATCTCATAGTTATAGATATACAAATATGTATACTGTAACATCATACTGTATGTAGTGCACTTAAAGAACAGCCTTTAGTGGTTGAACAGTTATAACATGTAATAATATCCCCCATTAATCCAAACATGGAGCACCACCTTGTGGACGTCCATTAACATTAAAATCAGTTAAAAGTAATCTTCATTCCCAGCGAATTATTATTATTAATATCTAATACTTATAATACCTGTTTTTCTGTTTTTCCTGTGTTTTTAAAACAATAATGTCATCGAATGATTCTTCTTTATGTGAAATGTATTGTCAGATGCGGTCAAATATTTCATGTTTAACGACTTCCGTTTTATTTTAAAAATACTGACCGGAAGTTCCGTTTTAGATTCTCGCTCTCTTGACATAGCTTGTGTTAGCTTTAAGCTAGTGTTGATAAAGTGAGTGGAAGGTTGGAGGAGATTGTAACTGCTGTTTTAGGAAGTTTGACTCAATTTTAACAGTCAGAACAAAGGAGAGAGAGTGGTTATTGTCGCGGAGTACCGAGATAGGCTTGTCATATCTCTGAAAAACAGTCTGTAGTGTTAAACTTGTGGCGTGGGAGAAACAGCAACCAGAGTTCAACTGAATGGCCGAGGGCTCCTCAGGTAACTCACTTTCTGTCTTAATAATTAATCCATACAGTCAAACAACAAGTTATTACTGCAACAATCTAACAGAATGTCTCTGTAATGCTAGACTGGATACTTAAATGTACTTGATAACCTTTCTTACTATGTAGTAATTTAGCTAGTGTGATGTAAAGCTAACGAGAGCTAACGTGAACTTTCAGCTAACATAAGCGAGCTGATTTTTCATTTATGATGCGCATTGGATTTTTCAACGGTTGCTAATGTTAGCCTTTCGTATTGGTGTCATCAGGATGATGTAACCGTGAACTTTGAAATGCAACATTACAACTGAGCTGAAATACAGTACCAGGAGTTAATAGACATGTGACTATCCTGTCAGCTCGTTGTAGCACCAATGTGTGCGTCAAATACTTTTCACTTACAGTTTGTGTATTTGTGATTTAGTTACTAATCGGTTTTAGCACAACTGCTGACTACATAACTTGCATATGAATAATAGTAGTAGAGCAGTAAATCAGCCAAGAAAGGTTAATGAATCCATACCATTATTAAAATATCACATTTGCTTTTATAGTTTTTTGTAAATCATACCAAATATTGTTAATTGTGATGCTCTCGTATCTTTGGCTCTGCTATAGACTTATTTAAGGACACAGTTAATGATCTGTGATCAGTGATGACCATTGTTTTTATTCCTTTTATTTAAAAAAAATGACTTTTGATTGCAATTATTATACCCATAGCTGTCACTTTTCTGTTTGCAGAACCACCTGACCTCAATCCAAATGGGGCATCACATCCAAAACCGTATCAGCACAAATCCAGAAGAGGCCGTCCCAGATACAGCAATGACAGGAACCTGAATAGTTACGATCCTTCTCAACAATATGGACACTTTGACCAGGGCATCAAACCCCCATTTAGCCATGATGATTCAAATTATGCGTTGCATCAGCAGCCTCCCTACCACGGAGATGATGGAGCCAGAAGTCGAGGCAGAGGTAGAGGGAGGAGAGATGGGAATAGAAGTGTAAATGAAAATTCTGGTGGCTCCAGTTGGCAAAAACCTGGAGGTGATCATGCCCAGAATAATGGTAACCACAGAGGTGCGGGCGGGTTTCAATCCGGGCCTAATTCCATGGATGGACCTGACAGATCCAGCTGGCGAAGAGAAGATGCGGGCAGGAATTTAGAGCAATCTGCTGAAGACCCAGATGCCCGGGCTAAAAAACCAAGGAAGTTCATCCAGGAGCCGAAAAGAGGACAACAGAATGAAAAGGGCACCCGCTTAAAGGAGAACAACACAGCCATGCAAGGTCAGAGGTCATACGACCGCAAAGGAGAAAACCTTCCTTCAGACATCAGGGAAAGAAATCAGAGGAGCAGGACAGGTCCGGACTCTCAATACGATGATCATCAGAGGAAACCCACTGAGGCAAGGAGACAAGGACCAATCAAACCACCCAAACCACCATCTCAAGAGGAAACGGGCTCAGAGAGGAGGGCCATTGTCCAAGATGACCCCCGATATGGCAGATCGTCTCAGGATCCTGCTGCCTGTAAAGCTGGCCGAGGCGTAGGACGACCCGCTCCTCTCCAGGCCAGAGGGGGGAGGAGAACAAATCCTCAGAACCACAGGCCAGGCCAGAGGAGCTGGGACAAGGTGCCAGAGAGCAAGGAGACACAGACAGGTAAATCAATGTGAACTCTGATATGGAAACCAAGGAGTCAGTGATATTAAAATAAAACAAAATCAATCAGATACTAAGGTGATTGTATCAAACTAATTTCTTCATGATCAAACATTTATTTAGTGATCTTTGCATAAAGACACTTTTTCTAATAAACCACCTATGGATATAGCACAACATTTGTACCATTAGGCAGATTCAAAGTTACACAGTCAATGATCTAACACTGTTTGCCAATTCTAAATGTTTTGTACATCATTACCCTGTATTTTACCATAATAATATTTTATATATATTCTTTTGGTTTGAACTAGGGGTTTTGAAATATATCAGTAATGATGCTAACAGTGATATTTACAAAAATATATTTATATATATTTAGAGAGATATAATTTAAATTAGGGCTTCTCGATTATGGCATAAATCATAATCTCGATTATTTGGGTCAATAATTGTAATTGCGATTATTAAATGAGATTATTCATTGACTTTGAAAACATCCATTTATTGGAGAGAAAAAAATGTGAACAGTATGTTTTTAACAGTTGATTACCCTAAACTTTAAGTATAATTCAACTGAAAAACCAAAAAAAAAAATTGTTTAAAAAAAGTTATAATAATAAAAAAATTATTGTTTTATTTCGATTACGTTGTTTTCGTAATCGTTGCAAGCCATAATCGTAATCGCGATTTAAAATACGATTAGTTGAGCAGCCCTAATTTAAATAATACACAAGCTAATATCTTATAAATAATACATTTCTGTTTCACTGGATTTGCTAGTTTTGTATGTTCTGTACAGTTGCTGCCTGACTCTTACTCCAGTTCACTATCCCCGTATGTAAAGGTAGTTCATTTGCCAGAAAAGGGACAAGAAATATTTATTTCTATAGACATGTATATATAATGTTAATGGTTATTATTTGGTCCCTAAAACGTATGGTAAAATCTTGATATAGTGACAGTGCGAGTTTGAACAGCGCTCCTCAGCACATCATATTTCTCTGATTGAACTTCCCTCGGGTCTTTCAGGTTTAAAAAGCGAATAATCTAAAGCCCCCTTGCCTCCTCCTGACCCTGTGATCTCTCCCCCTGCAGGCTGTCTGATTGAGCAGCTGTCTGAGGAGAAGTATGAGTGTATGGTCTGCTGTGACATCATCCGCTGCATGTCGCCGGTGTGGAGTTGCCAGAGCTGCTTCCACGTCTTCCACCTGAACTGCATCAAGAAGTGGGCTCGATCCCCGGCCTCGCAGGCAGACGGTACAACCTCACACAGCAGCTGGATGTTTACTATCAGCAGCACTGACACGCCCTCCTCTCAGTAGGGTTATCTCTGTGAGGCTACAAAACAACAGACCCCAGCATAATCCACTGTAATGCTTTATACTGCTGTGGACAATAACTAGGCTCTGTGGCCCCATTCACAAAACA